GCCCGCGCGTCAACAAGCGTCCAACGGCGCAGGCCTCGGAGCCTGTCTTGACCGATTGATCAAGTCTCGGCATGACATCGTGGCCCAGCGGGCGGCTCTCAAGATGGCGCGAGAGCTCGAGGGTTGCACCTTCCGCCCCAAGGTCAACCCATCGCCCCCGGTCAAGCCACCGACACTTGCCGCCGCGTCCAAGGCGACCACATATCCTCGGCCTGGCTGGCTGGCACGCACCGTCGACCGAATCTTGCTCGAGGCGCGTCTGAAGCAACACATTGAGTAAAGACCACTCGAGCCTTTACAACTATTCTATATGAGGCCGATGATCGGCCACTTCGTCCTCGGAGGGTTAACAAAAATCAAGCGCTTGAAGTGGATTTCCGAGTGTCATTATGGACTGCATTCTGCAATACCTTGCCACATGATGATGTGGCGCTCGACCTCACACAAATCTTTAGATATATGTAATTTATTTCACTAAGGAGTATTCTCGACGTATGTAAACTCTTTGTAACGACGAAGATAACGCGAAACACGTTTATATAAGGAGTGGTGTTCGTGGTGCGGAAGGCCCGGAATCTAGTCGAACGGCAGCCTAGGCGGTGCCTCCATGGCGTCTAGCTGCTTCGTCCGGGGACAACTATATCGCCACAGCGGCTGCAAACGCGATCACAACTCAGTAGCACAAGTATAAATTCGCTCCATGCGACGTTGGCGCAACGCAGCGGCTTCTGCATCGCTACGATATGAGTCTGTGGACCTAGCTCTATCAGCTGCAGCATCGCTCGCGATCTGTAATCTCTCCAGCATGGTGCGAGGAGAAGAGCGACGGCAGCAAGTATGGAAGGATCGTCGATTGATGACTATCATGCGCCATTCTCGGGGCTACTACTGGATGCTCGTATGCGGCAACACACAAACAAACCAACGTTAGCAGATGCATACGTTCTGGTACCGGTATTTGGATCCAAAAATGTAATCGAGCGAGTAAATATATATATAGTGCGTCATGAGATGGTCGCTCTACTTGTGACGCTGGCGAAACTCGACAAAGTCGTCGTTGCGCGTGATCGGGTTGGGCTTGAGATGGGCCAAGTCGATGCGGTGCGACCGGAACGATGCGCCTTCGTCACTCGATCGGTGGAAGATCGCACCGCGCTTTTCCTTGGAGAACGTGACGTCGGGGCTGTTGGAGAGGTATCGGAGACCGGCAAAGGTCGACATGCCCGTGGCAAACGTGATGATGCCAATGATCGGGTACGTCGCCGGGTCCGAGAACCACGTCTTGATGACAGACTGGGTCGCGCGGGCAGTGGTGGAGGCCATGGTTGTTGGTATGTACTTGGTGCAGATAAAGCTAGAATGACGCTCGGCAGTTGTTCGCGCCAAAAGAAGATCGTTTCCAAAAACACGCAAATCCCATAGAAAAGCTGCCGCGGAATTGACACGCGCTTCGTATCCGGACATGTTGACATTTGTATGGCAATGGACTTTCTCATCCGGATACGAGGAAGATGTCGTGTCGATGCGCCCGACCCGGCGCGTGTCTTTGGCGTGGCGATCTTCCGCAGGTCCATTTTGACCTGGGTTGAAGTAGCTCATTCTAGCTTTATCCGCACCAAGTACATACCAACAACCATGGCCTCCACCACTGCCCGCGCGACCCAGTCTGTCATCAAGACGTGGTTCTCGGACCCGGCGACGTACCCGATCATTGGCATCATCACGTTTGCCACGGGCATGTCGACCTTTGCCGGTCTCCGATACCTCTCCAACAGCCCCGACGTCACGTTCTCCAAGGAAAAGCGCGGTGCGATCTTCCACCGATCGAGTGACGAAGGCGCATCGTTCCGGTCGCACCGCATCGACTTGGCCCATCTCAAGCCCAACCCGATCACGCGCAACGACGACTTTGTCGAGTTTCGCCAGCGTCACAAGTAGAGCGACGACCTCATGACGCACTATATATATATTTACACGCTCAATGACAACAATTGCACACAAAGTTGAGCTTTTGCCAGGACCAAGTCCATCAGAATGCTTCTCGGGACGGCTGACTGCAGCAGCTGTCAGACTGCATCAAGACCACAATCCACTTCCTCCACGTAACGTTAGCCACTGACGCTCTTTGGCTCGCGCTAAGACCAGCTGGCGCCACCAACCTGCCAGAAGTTCGCGCACAACTCGCGTGGCATGCCCTGGACGATTGCTACATCATGCTTCCTTGCAGTACGATTACCTTGAGTTGAAGTTGGCGCTTCCAATGGGGTACCCCACCCTGGCCGTACTAGCACGGTTTTTCATCCAACCACAAAAAGTGAATGCTTTACAGTAGGTCCATCTGTTTTGTGTTTCATGGGGTCCTACCCATGGCCCATGGCCTCCACAAATCCTCCATTGCAGAAGAGTGGTCAATGCACAGCGCCCGCGACTGCCTCCGGGGCGTGCTCTTGCTCGCCGTCGCCTTCCTCCTCGTCTTCACGTCCTACAATGCGATCGAGGTAATGCGACCCATCTTTTATATGGCCGCCGTCATAAGCATCTCTTGACAGAACCTCGAGACGTCGATCTTGCCAGGTAATTGGCACGGCCGCTGCACTGCAACGCTGTCTTCTCTCGTGCAGGCGCCTGTCATGGCTGCGACGCGCCGTCGCCTTTCGCCGTGTGCCAGCGCGACAGCGTCTGCATGGCCAAGGTGCAGTACGCGTGCGACGCTGCTTGCGCTGCCCCGTTTGTCGAGTGCAAATGTACACCTCAATGTTCCTCGCATATTGGTCGCCGTCATGCGGCTGTGGTTCGTGGCGTAGCGACGCTCGGCAGCACGACGCTTGGCGTGATCTACCTTTGCTTTATGCTGAGCTCGATGCTCGGGCCCCTGGTGCCACGTACGACGATCCTGTCTCTTCTTGTCGCCCAACCAACCGGGCTTAGAAATGATTGGCGAAAAGACGAGTCTTATTGGAAGCTCGGCGTGCTAGTACGTGCATCTTTCTCTTCTGTCGGTCGCGCGGCATCTCATGATGCAGTACGGCGTAGTGGCGTCTTTGCCGTCGCCAACATGGTGGTGGCCATGCACCCTGCCGCCACGGAGCTCCATGCGTGGATCTTACTACCGGCCTCGGCGCTCATTGGCCTCGCCGCGTCCGTGCTCTGGGTGTCCCAAGTACGACGTTTAAAGTGTTCGCACCTAGCAGTGTCACTTGTAGGGAAGCTACTTGACGCGCCTCAGTGTGTGCTACGCGCAGTTCAAGAACCTTCCAGACACGAGTTCCATGGGCTACATGAACGGTACCTCGCTCGTCTCGGGACGACCTGTGGTCATGACGGCCGAATAGGATCCTTCTCGGCCATTTATAAAGCGAGTCAGCTCACGGGCAATGTCCTCTCGTCCTTCGTCCTCGGCACGCTGCAGTGGTACGACCATCTCACACTCGGAACGTTGTAGAGCGTCAAGGGGTAGGTCTTCGACGACCCTCTTTATGACGTACGCTACGCTTTCGTTTCTCGGGACGGGATGCTTGTGTTTTTTGGAGCCACTCCAAAAGGTATGATTGCCACGCATGCTCTATATGGTTGTCACGTATCGAGTCGCGTCTAGTTGCAACGACTGCCGACCGAAGGCTCCAAGCTCTTGCCGGGCGAAGAGCCTCCGCATTCGCCGTTGGCATCCATGCGGGCTGTATGGACGCTGGCGATGGACCCGTGCGCGGACTCTGGCGTGCGAGAGAGGACTGATGAAAGGACCCTAGTCGCATGGTCGTGCTCGCACCGCTCATGCTCTTCACTGGCATTCAGCAGGGCTTTACGTCGTCCGAATTCACGTCGAGTTTCATCCGCGAGTCGCTCGGCGAAGCGTCGATTGGCTACGTCATGGCCGTCTTTGGCGGCATGAGCGTCGTCTTTTCGTACGTTTTAGGGCGCGTCACCGACAGGTACAGCGTGTTTGTACATGGCTCCTCGATGACGCGCTGGGATCGGTAGAGTGGGCCCCATGTGGACGCAGCTGTTGGCGTGCGCGGCGCAGTTTACCGCGTACAGCCTTTGCCTTTGGACGCCAATGACCAAGTGCGACGGGCAGTGGACCTTGATTCTTGTCTGCGCCGTCTTGTTGAGTCTTAGCGAAGCCGGTACAATCGATGTTCAAAAGTGATGTGCACTCCTTTATATTCCTATTTAGCGTCGAGCACCATCCCCAGCGGTACAATCTGATGCACAGCTTGTCTTGTTTCGTGTCGACACGGTGGCATGCGTCTCTCTGTTCTAGTGGTCATGGGCCAAGAGTTTACGGCCAATGCACTCAACGCGTTCTCGCTCTTCCGCGTGTATCATTCCGGCGCGGCGAGCCTCAGCTTCTTTGGCCTCCCCCTTCTCAGGTCGTCTTCTTCTGCACCAATAGTTTGACTCGTTAACAACCACCTTGGCTGTAGTTTGACGGGGCGCCTCTATGTACTGCTCGCCTCGACCGCGCTCGCGGCCGCGTCCATGGTCCTCTATGCCACACGCTACCGCACCGTAGCGTAGGCAGTACCCAGCGCACACCTCTTGCAATGTGGACGAGCAACTCTGTCATTCACAGCGCTCGGCCGTGTAGTAGCTGCAGGCAAAAGGTCGATCGATACCAAGTGTAGTAGTCTGCCCTAATTTTGAGCCTGGACTGTGTATGCTGCCGATCTTACCCGGGTCTTATTCTGTTACTAGTACCTTGTAAAGGACTTTTCCAAAGCACTCCTCGTCCATACGGCTGACGACATCTAAAACGCTCTGCACAGTGCCAGAGCGTTTTCATGAGTCTTGGAAAGGCGAGATTGCCCGATCTTGTCAATCGCAGAATTATAAAAAGTGCAAACTCATTTCATAGAATTTTACAAATGTCTTGAGGGTATTTTATATCTCCGCAAACGTGCCAGTTGTTGAACCATGCGCACCGCCGCCGACTGCGTCCGTGGCGCTCTACTGCTCTCGGCCTCCTTCTTCCTCATCTTCACATCGTATGCTGCCATCGAGGTACAAGCCTATCTCTGGTCGCACTCTTCTCGACACGATCCTGATCTGCACGCTAGAATCTGGAAACCTCGATCATCCCCGGTCCACACACGCGCACGAGGCTTGCGCTCATCGGCGTTGTGTGGTAGGCGCTTGCACAGGCTGCAAGAGCGTTCAAGACGGTGCGATCTGCCAGCTCGGCGACGTCTGCGTCCATAAAGTCCAATTCGCTTGCGACGTGGCGTGCGCAGCGCCATACAGCGAATGCAAATGTACGGCGCTTCTAAATCCCTATCAGGAAGACCAATAATGTCGCGTAGCTGCGCTAGGCAGCATGATTTTGGGCGTCAACTACCTCCTCTTTTCCGTCAGCTCGCTCGCGGGGCCCTTCGTGCCCGGTACGACGCGCGTGCTCGTCGATGTCTATCATAACTTTTTCTGTAGCGCTGTTGGGCGAGAAGACAAGCATGGTGCTCGGCTCCATCAGCTAGTACGTCCGCGCTCACGTGAGCGCATTTGTTCAAATCGGGCGCTAGCACAACCTTTGGCATCGCCAACTTTGTCGTCGCCGTGTACCCGAGCCACACGACGATGCACTGGTGGATCATGCTGCCGGCGGCGGTCTTTAGCGGCGTCTCGGCGTCGTTTCTCTGGATTGCGCAGGTCTGTGCTTCCTTTTGAAGGTATAGAACGTTGACCGCTATGTGCCCATTTAGGGGAGCTACTTGACGCAGCTCAGCGTACACTACGCCGAGTACATGGGTCTTCCCGAGACGAGTTCCATGGGGTTTTTTCACGGTATGCATCGCACCGTATGGGTCGAGTGGGAGAACGTTTTTCTTTGGCGATAGGAATATTTTTTGGCATCTTCAAGTGCAGTCAGATTGCCGGCAACCTCATCTCGTCGTTTGTGCTTGGGACGCTCGGCTGGTACATGTACTGGATGTTGGATTTACGCATGCACACGTGCATGGAGGGTAGGACGACCGCAAGCCTCTTTCTCATGTACGTTGGTATTTCGTGCACGGGAACACTTCTTTTGTGGTTTTCAATTGAAGAGCAAGCCCCGGTTGGATATCTTTTACGCGATCTGTGCCATTGTTTTTATCGATGAAATAGTTGTCGCCGCTATCGACACCGACCGAAACCACACGGCTCTTGCACGCGCACCAGAAACACTCGGTTCTCGCCACAGTGCGCGCCGTGCTGACGATGGCCCTCGACAAGTCATTTGGACTGCGTTTCGTCCAAAGCTCTCATTCTCCATTAGGCGCATGCTCACGCTGACCCCGCTTTTGCTTTTCAACGGCATCCAGCAGGGCTTTGTGTCGTCCGAATTCACGTCGACGATCGTCCGCCAGTCGCTCGGCCAAGCGTCCATTGGAAACATCATGGCCATCTTTGGCGTCGTCAACGTCGCCTCGTCGTACGGCTTTGGCCGACTCGCCGACACGTGCGTCAACCGTCGTGCGCATGAGATGAGATGTGCTGAGCTGGGTGCGTAGCATGGGCACCTTGTATGCGCAAATCCTCGGGTTTACGGCGCTCCTCGCGGCCTACGTGGTCTGCCTCTTGCTGCCACTTGCGCGCTGCGACAATCAGTGGACCATCATGGTCGGTCTCTCGATCCTCCTCAGTATCGGTGACGCGTGTATGTATTTCGTGTCTACATGGATGGACGACTCTAACAACGCTCTGCGCATTAGCATCGACAACGTTGGCCAACGGTATTTCTTGGGGCTAGGTGAGGGCTAGGGTAATAAGGACACTTGCTTGTAGTTGTGCTTGGACAGGACTTTGCCCACGACTCGCTGCGAGCCTTTTCACTCTTTCGATCGTACCACGCAGGCGCTGCGAGTCTCAGCTTTTTCTTCCTTCGATACCTCAGGTACATTTCAAGCGATCTCTGAATGTATCAAGTACCGGCACCGACGTAGCTTGGACGGGCGTTTGTACTTGTTGATGACGACTCTCTTACTGGGCATTGCACTCTTTGTCGTCCACCACCTCGGCTATGCGCCGCGCAAGTAGAAAGGACGAGGCTCATCGTACCAACGAGACTCTAACGCATTGGCCTAATATTTGGAGAAGGCGATAAATGTTGGGTCTTCGAGGACATGGATGGGCACGCGCTTAAAGCCGCGAAACGAACTCTTATCGAGTCGCATCTCGGAAAGCGCTTGGTACTGGATCTGCGCAAAGAACGGCAGATAGCTATTTTTGATGTTAGTGTCCTTGTGCTCGGTTGGTTTTTTACATGAGCTGCAGTGTCGGGGCGGGCAAGAAGGCAAACTCGTTGACGATCGGCAGCGGGTTCAAATCGAGCTTGCTACACAGAGAAGCGGGTGAGCCATAGCGCGCATCGTCCAAGATTTCATTGCATTTCTTGGAGCTGAAAGAGCGGCAGCGGCGTGTCGACCCACACGCCAAGCGAGTTCTTGACATACCCTTGGAACATGTCGGTCGTGACGGCCGTAAAGTGGTTGCCATGGAGAAATCTATGCACACATATGTTGCCTCTTGCCGGTAGCAATTAGGCCATTAACGTACAAGTGCGTCGTATTGACGGGAATGTACATGGGCACAGCCTATGGCACGAGGCATGAGGACGCGAGTGCGAGCTCAAGGTTGGCGTGCCGAGAGGTTCTGGAACTCGCAATGCACCACAACGCGTGTCGAGCCAAAGCAAAAGCACTCTGTCGGGCAGCTCTGGACGCAGGCCGCGACCGCCAGCAGCACGAGCAGCCACGCCATTCGGATCTTGAGCCGACGCCAAGACGCATCGCTGATTGGCTACGTTTGTCCAATCACTGTTTTGCTCCATATTAGCCAATGGCATCGACGCACGACAGCTTTTACCAACGACGATGGCCCAGCCCGTGACGTTCATGGAGACAGTCGAGCACCTCGGCGGCGGTCTCGCCATGGTCGGCGTGGTCCTTGCGCTCGCCGTCGCGTATGTGCTGCTGGTCAACTTCGCCTTGCCGCGCGGCCGCCTGGCGCAGACCGAGCGCGTCAACAAGCTCCGTCGGTACGTCCTTCGCCCTTCGCGGAACGCACGTTGGACGCCTTGCTGCTGTTTAGAGCTGCGAAAGACAAGCCACGCCGATTTGTCGATTGATTGTGGCGTGATAAATAAAAGAGTCTACAATGCGCCCATGCCTGTCTACCCACGGTCTGCGGGCGGCTCAGAACCCGTGCGCCGACTAGGGGCGGGGGTGGACGCGGGGCCGGGCGTCAGTCAGGCGCTCTAAAACACGCTATAAGGCAAGCGCGCTATCCATGAGAGTGCCTACGGATGTCGTGCGGCGATTTCCGCACCATTATCTTGGCCGGCTTTGGCTTGACGAGCTCTTCGGCGTACATTTCGTACGAGGTGACGTCGCGATAGAGCGGTCCGTCGTCGCCGACGTCACGCGCTGATTTGTGCCGCACAAGAAACCCGCGAGCGGTCGCTTGGACTTTGATGGCTGCTTCATGCAGCATGTCGAGAGTCACGGTCGCGTTCACGAGCCGCTCGATGGCGATGGGAGCAATTACGGCATCGGGCGACTCCTCCACCAGTGGCACGGGCATGTCTACGTCCAAGTACGCACGATGATCATGCGTGTAGCATCCAACCTTTATGGCTCTGCACCACAACCGAGTGGGACCGTCGGTGGCGCGTACGACTTGCTGCGAGCGTTGTCGCCTTCTCCGTGCTGCGGAGACCCGTCCCGAGAGATGGTGCCCTGGCGTGCACAATATGTGCTTCGAATCCGTTGTCTAGCTACATGTCGTGTGTTAACACCGTTCCATGTATCGCATCTTCTCGACGTCGTACCAACTCAAGCGACATGCGCCGACCGCCGAGACGCTCGTTCGAGATGCGCTAGCCGACAACGTTGATACACTGATAGATTGATACCAGAAATGCCGTACATGTACGTGCACCAACGCGTGGGCTTGTCGAAGGCGACGACCCGCCTCTTCGCTTCCTCTTGTCGAGAGCTGCGGCAAACTCGGCGGTCCGCTGCGCTGTTGCTGCTGTTGGTACAAGGTGATGTTGCGCTCCATGCGACGCAGTGCGACGCGCTCCCGCGCTAAAATCCCCCTACACCGCCGACGCTCACTATCGACCTGCAGCAAGCACGTGCACGTACCGCACGAGGGCCTGGATTCGAACGATCGCGATCGACTGCAGCGCCACGAGCTCCAGCGCGGTTTGCTTCCGCACCACGTAGCCCCGGAACGACGCCTAGACCCCGCTGCATTCTACGCTTTGCATACGAGTCGGCGACCGACCTGAATGACAACCGCAGAGACGAGGACAATTTCGTCCATGCGGCGCGAGACGAGATGGCCATAGCCGACGCGCGCCAGGAACCGCTTGACGCACGCTTGGATCTTGGTGGCGGCGCTCGCGAGGCGGTCGCGGCGATGCTTGGCTTCGCGCTTGCCTACGTCGCGCCATCAGCATCCGCAGCTGCCAACGTGCTACCAACCCATGGCGTGTGCATGCACTTCTCGCCGCCATGTCGGGAGGGTGCTGCCCCCATCGCCGAGCGTCGCGGACGGTGTGTGGACCAAGATGCGCTGCATGTCTTGGAGCTAATACACACAACGCGTCAGAGCCGCATCCGTTCCGCGCTGCGTACGTCGCGTCGAATGGCCACGATGACGTTGGTGCGCCGCTTGCGCTCGTAGCCGTGGAGCGGCCGTGGTCGGTGGCGGTACCCTCGAAAAATGGACTGGATGCGCGTGCTCGCCCAGTGCTCGCGCGCGGCGCGGGCTTCGCGGTCCGCAACGAGTTGCTTCAAGAAGGCGTCACGCTCGTCCATGAGGATTTTGTTCATGCGTTTCCGGGGCATGGGCAGTGTCATGGGCGCGGCTGGTGGCGGCAACTTGAGCTTCTTCGTGCTCTGCTGCCGCGCGCCGAGCTCGTGGAGGCTGGTCTGGGGCACGAGCAGCTTCTCGACCGTGACCGTCGTTGCCAGCACGTCGGCGCACGTGAGCCGATTCTGGTTGAGGTAGATGACATGGCTCTCTTCCAAGCCGCAGGTCGCCGGTGTATATGCTGGCCCGTCCGCCGGCTCCATGTTGCTGCTGCAACGAGCAGTTGAAGGGGTTGCACCGGATCAGAAATAGTGTCCATCGCCATCGAATCAAATAGTGTTGGTGAGAGATTTTGGCGGTACCGGTAGTAGCGGTGTTTTGGGAAGCACTAGTCGGCCCTACTCGTGTGCGTGCGAGTGCACAATGTCGGTGCGTTTGTAGGATGACTGTGCACGTGCTGGGCTTTCCGATGCACGGTATCACGTCCTTTCCGCAGACACTATTTGAGGAGTAGCAGGATCGCAACGGACCAATCAACACGAAGCATTTGAAGCGGCGTCTCGACTCGTCCTGCGTTGCGAACAGGATCGCGAAAAGGTGAAAATGATGCGGATCCAGTGCCAAGCCAGGGCAGGATATCGGGAACCGGTGGAGATGCTCTTGGTCAACTACTCTGTATCATAACAGACCTATGCATTGCTCCATGCTGTCAAGAGGCCTGCACAGGAGCGTTGCACGTGTCAAGCTGCGTACGCCTCGGTATATCGATGACAGTTGCCGGCTTGTCGTGGACCGAAGAAAGACTTGTACACACCGCCTCGCAGCGCACTTGAGTGTGATGCATGCGTCGTCACATCTTTTCAGAGAGTCGCATCGCAACGTCATGTCGCGAGCACGAGATCGCTCGCTCTAGTCGCTTCGGGTTGGTACATTCTGCTCCCACCATTGCAAGCGCTGATATCCCACGGGGGCGTATGCACCACTGGCGGCTTCTGGCGCAAATCGCGTGCCCACTACTGATCGCTGATCGCTGTGTGCGACGTCTCGACCACCCATCATGCAAGCGCACCGGCTTCCACAGCGCGCATGGGTGCAGCGAGAACGGTGCGTCCCGCCACCAAGCTGCATTGGACGCCAAAGCCACGACTCAACGTAGCTCTCTGTTCGTGCACAGTGCGTGTTGAGAATGATAGGACAACCTAGTGCTATTGTTTGAGAGCGATCGAACCATTCCAACCCGCGCCGTGTGTTATGCATTTCACGGTCCCATAAGTCTCGCGGTCGAAAACTATTCAGTCCTGGTACTTGGCGTTTGTATCGAGCACTACACGGTGTATTTTCACCGTGTTTTATTTACCCAGAGTGTCTCAATCTTGCTGGCTTTCGCGATAAGGCTCCGTGGACGAGCCGCAACAATCCTCTCTTGCTATTCACAACATTGGAGCTTCAGCACTCGCCGCCCATGACGCGGCGGACCAGTGTACAGTAGAGCAACACCTTGCAGTCGCGCGGTCTTGATCATGTACGAGTCGTAGAATCCAGATGCCGTACTGAGAGAAGGTGCTACAGGATCCGCGTTTTCTGTTGGCGTGGCGAAGCATGCACCGTGTTTTGTTCCTTGGTCGTCGGCCTCGCCGAGTGCGAGTACCGAGTTGAACAGAGCCAGGTCTTTTCATGCGGCGATCGCATGCTAGAAGGCACGAGGTGGGTGGTGCGCGGCCAGCAAATAACGAGACAGCTCTGAGAAAGCGCAACGGGAAACTGTCGAATTACAGGTAATGGGCCCGCCATCTGGGTCATGTGCCACAAGCCCTTTTGCCACAGCAGTCGCCGACGCCACTGGGACCGACCCGCGACCATGGGCTGCAACTCGAGCAAGCCCGAGAAGCCGATCACGATCGACGTCGACGAGCCGTTCCGGCCCATCGCGTCGCACGACAACCTGCAGAACGTCAGCAGCTTCCCGCGCACCGCGGACAGGAAGCACCGATCGTCGACCGGGTCCTCGGCCGTGCCGTCGCAGGCAACCACCTCGCTCAACGGCGTCTACAACGCGCTTCTGCCACTGCAAGGTCGGTACTGGATCGACCCAGACGACTGCGGCAGCTCGCGCAAGATCAAGTCGTCGTACATGCAAACCCACCTCGGGTATTACCAGGTACCGCCTTGCCTTTTGCCACAAGACGGCTCACGCATTCGTGCAGGGCCACCCGACCGTCATCAAGTCGTTCGTCGGCTACGACAAGCGCCCGGCCAACGTCGTCGACAACGAGCGCGGTAGGAAACCATCCTCGTCATACTATGTGCTCATAGGCTCGGTAGAGGACCTCATCAAGGAAATCTGTTCGCTTGCCAAGCTCTCGCACCCCAACATTGTCGCCTTCCTGGGCTTTACGTACACGACGCCGGATGACCTAAAGTGCGTGACCGAGTTCATGGACGGCGGGAACCTCCGCAAGCTCCTCGACAACCCGAAGCGAGAGCTCACGTGGGCCACCGAGAAGCTCTCCATCGCGCTCGACGTGGCCATGGCGCTCGCCTACCTTCACGAGCTCAAGCCCAAGGTCCTCCACCGCAACATCAAGGCCGACAAGGTCCTTCTCTCGTCGACGCTCGAGGCCAAGCTCTCGGGGTACATTGATTGATTGATTGATTTCCGTACTAGCATCTGTGGCTGACGTTGCCATTGTAGGTTTGGCTCGGCGCGCGAGTGGAGCTACATCCACACCATGACACAGAAGATCGGTACGGTCGAGTGGTCGGCGCCCGAGCTTCTCTTGCACGAAGACTACAACGAAAAAGTCGACATCTACTCGTTTGGCGTACGTCTGCTCCGAGTGTATCAATGTATCAATCGCACACTCTAGGTGCTCCTGACGGAACTCGATACGCGCTTGCTGCCGTACGCCGACTACACGGAGACAACGAGCGTCCTTATCACCAACATCATCACGGGCCTCATGCGGCCGGCGGTGTCCTCGTCGTGTCCGCGTCCGATCGCGAAGCTCATCCACGCGTGCCTCCAGCTCGACTCGAATTTGCGTCCATCGGCAGACGCAATAGTGCAAATCCTGCGCGAGCAGCACCGCGTCATGTGCGAGCAGGCGGCCGTCGACTTGACCAACGAGCAGCGCCGATCAAGCGTCAAGAAGCAGTCCAAGCACCGCGTCCAGCGTAGCCAAGTGTCGTCGGCGTCGCACCTCGACCACACGGGGTCCAGCTCGGGCCACTCGAACCCGGGACTCCATGTCGGTAGCGCGCAAGTGCCCGACCCGGATTTTATGCATTTGGTGCCGCTCCGCAACGACTACTGGATCCATCCCCAGTACGAAAGCATCTCATTTCGGAGCGTAAACGACTCCAACATTCGTATCCCTAGGGACGTTGTTGTCTCGCGCAAACTGCCGTCGTCCTACATGTGTACGATGCTCGGGCATTTTCGCGGCGACCCGGTCGTCGTCAAGATGCTCAACACCGAGATGGACTCGTGCGCGATCGACACGGACCGCCGGTACCTCGTGCGCGAGATCTGCATCATGGCCAGGCTCAAGCACGCCAACATTGTCACGTTTTACGGCTTCACCTACACGAACGCCGTCGACCTCAAGTGCATGACCGAGTTCATGGCGGGCGGGTAAACATTCGGTCCGCAGTTCGATCCCGCCATTTATCGATGTATCTTAGGACCTTGCGTGCGCTCTTGGACAAGCCGAAGCGCGAACTCACGTGGGACAACCACAAGCTCACGATAGCGCTGGACGTGGCCAAGGCGCTCGCGTACCTCCACGGGCACTCGCCGTGCTTGCTGCATCGCAACATCAAGGCGAGCAAGGTGCTCCTGACGCCTGGCCTCGGTGCGTTGTCGTCGTCGGCATGACAATATGACCTCATGACAACAAATAGGTGGCAAGCTCTCGGGGTTTGGGTACGCGCGGGCGTGGTCGTCGCAAGACACGCTGACGTCGGCCGTCGGGACGATGGAGTGGGCTGCGCCCGAGCTCCTTCGCAACGAAGATTACAGCTCCCCCGCTGACATTTATGCGTTCGGGGTAAAAAGACACTGAGTTTTTGACACGAGACCGAGGATTGGGTATGTCTGTAGGTGCTACTGACGGAGCTCGACACGCGGCTCATCCCTTACGACGATCTGCGCAAGAGCGAGCCGACGAAGCGCTACATGACGGACGAAACCCTCATGATGAACGTTGTGACAGGCAAAGTCAAGCCGACCGTGTCGCCGTCGTGCCCACGCTCGATACTCAAGCTCATCCACGCGTGTCTGCAGCTCAAGCCCAACGCCCGGCCGTCCTGCGACTCGATCGTTGCGATCCTCGAACAAGAGCGGCTCATGCGCATGGGTCTATAGCGCCATTTGGGAATGCGATCCTATCCTGTAACACACCTTGTCGTCTCAACGATGCATCAAATTGTGCACGACGACACAAGGTGGACATCTGCACTTCAGGCTGAAGTTATTAATCGATACAAAGAAAGGGAATGCAAACCAACGATGCAAGGGATTCCGTTGGTCGCGCCGAAATGGCCACAAGAGCGCGGGGAGGACACGCTGGCGTCGTCCGTGATGGTTGGCTGAAGGTGATGATGCTTCGCGTGCCTGGTCCCTCGTTGTCTTTGTGTTTTTCTCACAAATTGCATGACAGATCATGATGAAAGATATTACTACCTTTGCAAGCGTCTCGGTTTGATTTCGGCAGTTGAAATGCACGGAGCCGATCACTGAGCAGCAGTTCTGGAGTGCACGAGATCTGTAGCCTACCAAATCGCCCTTTTTGTAGCATATCGGTTGGGGCTTTATCCGGATCACTTACATAGTGAAACTAGGATATGCCGGATGATAATTCTAATAAAGTAGATAAATGATGTATTAAAATTAATAGAATAGTAAAACTGACGAAAAACAAAGGACCTGTGGTCCTGTTTTGACTCCCGCTCCATACCTCGTACCAGTAGTGTTGAAGATCCCCAACTTTGACGGCCGATAACTTCTCCAGCTTTTCGATTTATTGCAATCCGTTCACATACATCGCGTCCTCTTGGACTGAGCAGTCGACCTACTAGTATAACATCCTTTTCGTAGAAAATGGTGTATTCATAGCAAGGATACAAACGTTTTGCACCCCATTTAGCTGGTAGGGTAATGCACGGGTGACGTATGCTGGGTGGTTTTATAATTTGAAACCACCCTAGGTACAGTATAGACCGATATTCCCTACTGTTGTATAGTAGGTCACGGATAATGCACCGTTCCTTGGTTCCTTGCTCCTTTCCGCCATGCAAGGGTGACGGTAGAGGCCTGCGTCGTGACATGCATCGGCTCAGACGCGCGCGAGAACGCGGCGCCGGCTGGTCTTGAAGTTCCCAAGAGCTCCATGACGTGGGACGCGTGACGTGGAAGCGTCGGTGGATCGCGTGTGCGGATTGGCTGTAATTCTGACGTGGGCCGCCATGATTGGTGGAATCGTCGATGTGGTTTCAGATTCGCCGTGACGTAGATTTGTATCCCTCCGGATAAATGAAAAAAGCTAAATTGGGATCGAGCCGGTGTGGCGAATCTTTTCGTTTATCCGGAATTCCGTTGCGCCTACGAATTACGGTGCACCTTTTCGAGATTCGGGAGCTTAAATTACATTTGCCGATGATCCACTCGCGGCGCCTCGTGACAACGATCGCGGGCCTTGGCCTCGCCAGTGCGAGCGCATGGATGTACTCGGACGAGGACATGGCACCTGTCGTCGTCGTCAAGGAGAGCGCTACAAAGAAGTCGAAGCGCAGCCGCAGCAATAGCCTCACCGGGCCTTGGGACGCCAAGCGGCATGGCATTGAGCAGAGCTACTTCCGCAAGGTCGGCGACTATCTCGCGTCCGCGACCGTTCAAGCGTCGACGGCGTACGTCTCGCTTGCAGGGCGTGGCAACCAGGCGCTTAACGTCGCCGACCGCGCCCATCCGCAGCTCGACGCGAAGCAGTTGATTGCCAGCAGCAACTTTGACCTGCTCCTCAACCTTGTCGCGAGCGATACCAACAACACAGTGCACGACGACACGTACAAAGCGATCAACCGCGCGGCCGAGCGCAACGTCGAATGCGCGGCTGCGATTGCCGAGCGGGCGACGCGGTATGGCAAGCAGGCGCTTCTGCATCTCGCAAGGCGCAACGACCTCGACGGACGCCTCGGCGACGCGCTCCGCGGACTCACCGTGCTCAACGGCAACGAGTGTCGGTTTGGGCCTGCCAACCTCACGTCGCTGGTCGCCCTTGTGTGTGCGAGCGACCTCCCGCCATCCTACGCCGAGTTTGCGTGGTGGGCCCTCGCCGCGAGTGCAAGCGATCGCGCGCTCACGTCACGCTACCGGTGGCGCAAAACGTGGTTCGGCGACGACCGTGTCGCCCGGACGCGCTCCGTACTCATGCGGAACCCTTACATTTGGTCGGCGCTGCTTGCGACCGACGCAGCCAGCCCCGAAGTGCAGGTACAGATATATCCGAGAACGCGTTAAAGTCCTGATTGCGATATGTAGCTGCAAGCGTCGTCGCTCGTCAAGGAGCTCGTCAAGGCGTCCTCGATGGCGACCTGCCTCGACGACGACAAACTCGACTTGATCTGGGAGTGGTTCGTCACAGAAGACGACGTGCCGCTCAGCCTCAACGCGATCGAGACGCTTGCCGTCGTGGCGGCGGACCCTGCGTGGCGTGCCAATGTGCTCGGCCGCGGCTTCCTCGACCAGTTGCACCACAAGATGCACGGAACCAAGGACCCGCGCCTTGCCGCCGCGGTCCTCCGCGCCGTGCACGCCGTCGCCTTTTCCCATGCTTCGTCCGACCTCGACGCGCACGCGCTCTCGCGCGTTGACGACGGCGTCAGCGTGCTCGACGACGATTGGCTCGGCGGCTCCGAAGCCGTCGACGAGCCCACGTACGTCGCTGGCTGGATCGACCTCTTCACTTCGTACCTCGGGCACGACGAAGAACGACATCTCGCGCGAAGCCGTCCGGTGCCTCGAAGCTCTCTCGACATCGGGCAGCTACAAGAGCCAAGGGTATTAGTACATCAAGGACTCCATGACACCTGAGCACGTGCGTAGGGTCCAAGAATGGCTCATCGCGGTGCTCGACCAAGTCCTTCGCAATGTGCCGTATGAACTCGCGACGCAGGCCAGCACGGTGCGGGCCGCGCGGAGTCGGACGCGGCCTCTCCAGAACGCACCGCCAAACAAACCAAACGAGTTTCTGGACGCGCATACGCGGGCTCTGCGCGCGCTGGCGTTTGTGATCGAACGGCCCGCGTGCCAAGCCGCGTTTGTCAAGGCCGGCGGCCTCCCGCTGCTAAACGCCATGGCGGCGTCGCTCGACAAAGACGGGCCGTCGGCTGCCAAGTTTCAAATCGAGTGGGCGCGCGTCATCGCCAACCTCGCGTCCAGCGCTGAGATGGATTGGCACGTCAAGAGTGAACTCCAGCGCGGTGCGTGGACGTCGGCGCTTGAGGCGCTCGCGACGTCTTCGAACGTCCAAGTCAAAATGCAAGCCCGGCGAGCACTTCACAACCTCTCGACGGCTTACGACGCCACCATGGTCCGTGACAAGGATGAGGACGAGGACGAGGATGCGATGGAGCGACGACTGCCAGAGAAAAAGGTCGTGTACCTCGAAGGCGTCCACCCGATGCTTGGCGCCCCGACAGAAGGGACGCCGGCAACCTACGACGTCGACGTTGTCTTCATCCACGGTCTCCTTGGATGTGCGTACGAGACGTGGATTGGCGGCGACAACATCCACGCCCCCGACGCGTCGACGCCGGTCTGGGCCAACGATTGGCTCGTCGCCGACCTCCAAGCCCGCGGGCTCGAGCCGCGCGTCGTCTCCCTCGGCTACGACTCGAAAATCTTTGCGTCCGAGTCGAATTTCGAGACGCTGTGTCTCGAAGACACGAGCCGCGATCTGCTCCAGAAGCTGCAAAAGGCGCAGGTCGGCACGTCGAAGCGGCCCGTCGTGTTTGTGACCCATAGCATGGGCGGCATTGTCCTGAAGAAGATGCTCAGCGACGCGGCCGACCACAACATGCAGTCGCTGCCCGAGGCGACGTCGGGGCTCATGTTTTACTCGACGCCGCACCACGGATCGCCGGTCGCGGTCGCCCTCCAGCGCATCAACGTCAAGAGCCTCAACCTCGCGCACCCGGTCGTCGCGGACCTCCATGGCACGCCACGTCTCAAGCACTTGAACGAATGGTGCGCGAGCTTTGCGTCGACCAAGGGCGATGACCTGCACGTGCTCAGCGTCGGCGAGACGCGCCCGATGAAGATTCCGATCGTCGGCGTCGAAGCCGTCGTTGTGCCCGAGGCGTCGTCCAACCCGGGCTTCGGCGAGTACGTGCGGCTCGACGACGCCGACCACATTGACGTCTGCAAGCCCAAGTCCATGGAGGACGTCCGGTATACGCTGGCGCGCGACTTCATCCTGCGCGCCGTCCCGCCCCGTCGCTACGACAACCAGCTCGAGATGGACGACGACGACGACGACGACGAGCACGCCTGAACCTTTCTAACTTATAAATACAGACGCGTCATATTATCGTGTGTGGAGGTGGCTGTCTATGATGCGATGCGCGTGCGCTTCTTCCGACCGGGCCCGCGATAGTACCAGAAGCCGAGGCTGACCCAGCACGGGCTTGTGCACACGGCGCCAAAGAGCAGGATCGGACTGCAGAGCACGAGAAAGCACGCGATGGGAATGCCCATGCAGCAAAGGCACGCGAGTACGAGCATGTGCAGCAGCCAAAGGTGCCACTAGTTCGGACAACGATCGTGCGGAGCCCAACTCATGCATTCGTATGTACCTCTTTGAACCACTGCCAGCTCGGCGGCAAGCACTTGTCCAGGAACGACGCGACGTTGGCCATGACGGTGCGTGGCGACGACGGGCGCTCGGTCGGGATGTACGGGCAGGTCGTGTTGGACACGAGAGGACGTGGTTCGCCGGCAAATTCTCGGGCTGGCTCAAGTGGAGACGCTGCACGAGCAGCGTCGGGTCGCAGTATGGCGTGTTGAACGGCGTGAGCATGTAGGGCGTGAGCGGATTCTGCATGCGCGCATGAGATGATGATCTACCCATGGACATGGCATCTGCGCCTACCACGTGCAGAGCATTGTTGATGTCTTGCGCCGCCTTGACCTTGGTGACCAGCATACCGTCCCACTCGGTGGCCGCGCGCATCGGCTCATGGTGGCGGCCATCGGTCTCGGGCGGCGCGTCGCTGGACGGGCCCGACATGCTCGTGGGCGTGCGTGGATCGGGAAAATGGCCTCGGACCGCAACTGGCCTCTCGGAGGGTTGCCGGTTCGAAAAAGTTGCACTTGGGATTTGTATGGGCTTGGCCGAAAACGCGCAGAAATTCAAAATAATAAATGGAATCCAGTACTTTGCTGCACGTTTTTGTGGAACAAGATGGCGAGTCGCGAATATGGCCTCGACGGGCTGCCGACGCTGCCGCTCCTCGAGCAAGTCCACCGGCTCCATCACGCCATCTCCATGGGGTACCCGTACCGCGAGGTACCGAATGATGTGCTGCACGCGCGTATATCCTGCAGCAAACATGTACTAGTAGACGCAGGCGTGGACGACCATGCCAATTGCCGACAAACGACGCCTCTTGCAGTACATCAAGGAGAGCCGCGACGCTGCCGCTGTCAAGGCACCGCCGCCAGCGCCCAAGGACACGTCTGGCATCGCGGAAGACGACGATTACGACGATGAGAAACCGGCGCCGTCCGCGCCAACCAATGCCCACGACGACGGGCCAGCGCCCATGGCGTCGCCAAGCCGCAGCAACGCGCCGCCCGACCCGACGAACGACATGTACTTGAACATGATCGAGACGCGCACGCCGACTGGCCGCCGCCGATGGACGATCCAAGATGCACCCGCGCCGGTCTGTCCGTGCGGCCAGACGCATGCGGCCAAGACATCGTGCATTGTGCTCAACGAAATAAAGCTCATGATGACGACGTTTGGTGACGGCGATTACCCGTGCGACGCTACGGCCACGTACATCCAAGCCAAAGGTGCGTCATGAGGCCTCCCGTTTCGATCCGCCTGCCACATGGCGTGTGTAGTCAAGGCCAACTTTCGCGCTGCACTGGGCCCGCTCGAGCAAGTCGAGCTCATGGTAGGCCCCGTACTGCGTCTGCTGCGTATCTAACACGTCCATATAGGGGCTCATTGAGCGCTTTCCGAACGAAGCCATGTACTATGGTCGGTGGAAGGACTTTCGATCGACGGCCAAGAATCCGGGCGCGGACGCCAGTAGCAACGCTGCCGACGACACGATCACGGACGAGATGGTCGACGAGATGGACCTCATTGCGTCGTACGAAGACAAGGAAACGCCGACGTTGGAAGTGTACTTTACGGTGCGTTTCTATCAATGTATCAAGAGCGAGCGTGTGCTAAAACGAACGAACGATGGCAGGAGCGCATCAAGTTTGCCGACGTGCGCACCAAGACGATGGAGTCGACGACGTACCTCGAGTTCTCCAAGTACGTTATCGCCTTGCGGACCGATCATATCCATGGACTCTCTTGTCGAGTAGGAAGCGCACGACCAACTTCATGTCGCAGTCGGCGCCGTTTCTGGCGTGGCTCGATCTGCCCAAGTGCTCACGGGCGACGCTCGAGTTTCTCAACTTTATCATCTACAACCGGTGCGCCGCTTGCATCCTCCATCTTGTTTCATCCTCGGCATGATAGCATTGGGCTCTACGTGGAAGACGCGATCCGGGCAAAGCACAGCGGTCAGCTCGTACGGCTCGAGGCGCCGCTCATGGTCGCCGACATTGAGTATGCACAACGATCGATTCGACATTTTGGGAGAGTATAATGCTATCAATTATGGGCGTAGGGTGGTGGAAGCCAAGCTGTTTGCGTCGACCACGTCCAGCGCCGCTTCGCCGTTTGTGGCTGCCCCGCCGCAGCCTGCCAAGCGCAAGGCCGAGCCCGCACTCTTGGTCTCGCCGCCGGCCGCGCGGCTCAAGCGCCTGCGGTAGCACTCGAGATGCGAATCAAATAGACGTTTTCTAGCTCGGGCGTTGCGGTTGCGAGCTGTGTTGCCTGGAGACGCCAACGCGCCAAGTAGGGTTGCAGCGTGTGCTGCACGCTAATAGCACTCGCTTTGCGTCGCGTGGAAGTGAGGGCTTGCAACGCACCTTCGGAGCTGGTACGCCACGTACGCTTTGCACGTGGGATTGAGCGCGAGCAGGCGAGCGATCGTGGCCACGGCGTCTTCAAAGTCTACTTAGCGCCAGTCGTTCGTTGGCGGTCGTACGCAGGATGGACGAATTGGGGGTCATACCATCGGGCTCGTAAAAGCAGTCGGCGGCAAGGACGACATCGCAGGTCCAGTCGCGAGAGATTGGCCACCCCCATGCGAGCGTAGCCTAGAAAGAATCAGCGGCGTCGACGGCCAAAGAAGATGGAACACCGTGTGGATGCGCGCCGGGTCGAGCTGGTTGAGGGCGATGGAGCGCGCCGCCGGCACCAAGTCGGCTATGCACTTGTCTGTGAGTCGCACCGACGCGGCGCCGAGCTTGGCAGCCAAGAGCCCGGGCAAGGCAGTGCCAGCTCCAAGCTCGACGACCGCCTTTGATGCAACAAGCTGCGGCTGCTGCGAGAGGAACGTCGCCAGCGCAATGGCACACGGCCAGACGTAGCAGCCGAGATCGAGGTCCGCAGTCGCAGTAGCCGACGCGCCGAGCTCCTGCGTCAAGCCACTGCATCATGACACACGAGTGACGATGGAAGCCACGGACCTCCTGCACCAAGACGCGGGTCTGTGCGAACGTGAACGTCTTGACGTCCGTCTGCATGCTGCCGAAACTATCGGACGGAAATAGTGTAATGCAACCGCCTCAGGGCACCTCGGAGCGAGCATACAGCCGCCCGTATAACTGCAAACCAGCGTCAGACACACTACAATCTTTGTTCAGAGCTTGGCATCGCAACAACCAGAAACCATCCTCGTAGGCAGGCAAGAGATTTACGAATTAGGATTATGGGAGGCTCTTGGTAAAAAGCCCAACCACGACGACAACGTGGCCTCCCTTCGGTTGGGAAAAAATATGTATGTTCAGGACTACCAACGGTTGCGCCGACCGACGACACCGACGACCGCGACCGACACCCTTGGACTACAAGCACGACCGACGAGATACCGGGGCGGGGCACGTACTCGACCGAGCATTGGCGAACCGAAAAACCGAGCGACACCGAACGACACCGACGACACCGACGACACCGACG